AAGAGGCAAGCATTTTCTTTAAAACCTTTTTTCTCAGCTCGTGTACATTCCAGGGCAAATCTATGCATAATGCTAAAAAGATATTTTCCTGTAGATGTGCAGATTACCTTTATAAATTAAAATAGGCTCAAAAATAAGCGCAAAAAATTAATTTTAAAATGTAAAACAAAACTAATATGGCCTTTATTAGGTTGCCATGCTGGTGACGAAATAACAACGAAATATAAACAGAAAATCAAACCAAATGGAAGAAATTCCAATCACATGGTTTATTTCAGTGTAAGGCAAAAATAAAGAAGTCTGTACATTACACATTTTTGGACGAGTTGTTGACCACTAGACGACCTCTAGTACTAATTAATTGTCTACAAAAGGTTTTCATTTTTTAAATGAAATAAGAGTTAGCATGGCTTTATCCTGTAAACACACTCTGCCCACGTTGTTATAAAATACAATTTGAAAATACCCCGGCCGCAGCAAACATGCCGTCTAAGCGAATTTCTATTTGTCTAAATTGATTTTTCAATGAAATCTATCTAAATAAGATTAGGTTTAACGAGCACCTAGGTTTGCTGCTACAAGGAAACTTATAAAGCGAGTTTTTTTGGTAAAATAATAGCTTAATAGCTATTAATAGCTTAGTATAAAATAAATAAATTGGCCAAGCTTGATCCAAAATATCAATAAACAAGCAAACTACTGTACATCATTTCACAATATTCTCCATAAGAATAACATGGGAATTTTGAATTTAAATTTTTTTGAAGTTTCTTCGTTACCAATAACCATACAAAAACACTTTGATATACTGAATTATTTGGTTTTTTAAGGTCTTTAAAAAGATCTAGAGAGAAATTGGGAAATTTCGTGTTTTGAGGGTCAAAAATGAGAAAACCCATTTTTTACCCCATAAAAGCCCCCGTAAAACCCTGTTCCCAAGGTCCGATCATGCTGGTACGCGAACTCATTCCGCCTTACACCTTCAAAACAAATTCCATCATCATTGGACAAAAACTACTCAAGTTATCGCGTTCACGGACGTATATATATAAATATACATAACAATTTGAACGAATGGTGATTTTGGCCTCTGGGGACATCAAAATGAGAGTTAGGTCCCGTCCCTAGGTCTTACCGTGCCACCTACGGTAATAGCTACTTCATACTTCCCGAAGGGAAATTCACTAAAATGTCCAATGTTCAAAGAGGTTCCTTGGGAAAAATATAACTACATATTCTTATCAGCTAAACGCCCCTGAGAAGCAACTGTGAAAAGAATGCAATGAATACACAGGCTACTGCGAGCGAGGTTGAATAGTGAACAACCCCCATTCAAAAAAGACCCGAGAAAACTTTTCCAATCTCTGTAATATTTATTAGTTGAGTTTGGTGAAGATAAAACTGTTTACAACTCGATTTAGACAATTGATTAAGACCCGGCGGAAACAACAAAGTGAGAGGGTTATAAAAACTTCTAAATTAGAAACAAAGATTAAGTAGCTTAAGCGAAGAGGAGACTTGAGAACTCGTTTGTTGACTCTGAGTAATTATTTAACTTGCCACCGAGCTCTATAATATTATAAATTGTAATTGATCTTAAGTGGTAGGAGGAGTACTTTTAAACCACAACTTTTATTTGTGAATTCTATTTATTGGTGATTACCTGAACTTGTCACTTACCAATCATCATGTAAATCACAACACTTCGTTTAATGATTTGTTTCTGAATTTTAAAGATGGACTTTCAAAATTGTAAGGGGTATACAAATCAGCTAAAACAACTCCAAGCCTCAACTCAACCCTCCAGCTCCACTCCACAACAAGATACAAATTATTACAACAAACTGCTATTCTGGTATTCTAGTACTATTCTAACTTGGCTATTCTGGTGTCTTGGTGCATTGTTTTTGTTGTTGTTTTTTTAGTGTTCAAGACCCTCTCTAAGTAGTAATTCAAATTGTGCCATTGGCTTTAGATAATGAAGTAACGAAAATACCTACACAATATACAATAATTAGAGTACAACATTAAATAAATTAATTTATAATAGGATATTTTGTGCTTCTGAGTGTAAGTACAGTACAAAGTTACTTTTCTTGGGTGTATTGGTAAATGGTACTATCCCATTTATATGGACTAGCTGCAACAAATTAAAACTAAAAAAAAGCCAAGCTGAAATAGCTTAAACTATTTTTAGACCGACAATATCGATAGTTATAATATGGGAATGGAATAGGAAAGATAGGACACGGGACGCTATTGCAACATTTCAGGCTTCTGAGACTCTGATTTTGGGTGCGAGGTGATATTGTTATGTAGCATTGATATTTGTATGTAAAGGGTGTCCCAATAAGAACGCCGGATTTGAAATGTTAACAAACCATATATTTTCATGCTAAATTTACAATATAAAACATGAATCTTAAAGCATAGTATCTCCGATTAGTAATTGAGTATTATGTCTTGTAAGTGCCAACCTGCTGAATACTGACAGGCCCGACATCTCTTGACAAAGTTTTCCATCACTTTTTCACACACTTCCTGTTGAATTCCATTAATGGCACGAATCATTTCCTCCTTCAAGTCTTGGATTGGTTGAGGATTATTGGCGAAAACAAGCGACTTTAAATATCCCCAGAATGGAACTGAGCCAATTTATTCGAACTTAGAAATCAATCTTCGGACAGATGGATCATTTGGTGCACTGTCCCGGCCGTAAATAGCGCGCAGCTTCCGTACTTGTAGTGCACTTTATCTATGACCAAGCGTTGATCCGTCGTGTAGCGATTCATGACTACAAATGGGACCTAATACTGATAACATCGCTGATAATTTGGGAATTTCTATTGAAATACAGATAAGGATAAGACGCTCCTCAAATCCGGCGTTCTTACTGGGACACCCTTTAGTAAATAAATGTTAAACATTTTCTGAATATACCTACATGGGTTATAGTTTTTTTTTATTATTATTATATATAGATGCGCTTATTTCTAAGGGATTATTGTTGATAGCTTAATCTGTGAAACGGTTTTAAAGATGATGTTATCGTTATTGCTTACGGTTTCTAAAAGTTATAAATGAAGCTAACAGAATGGTTTGCGATTGGCATAGAAAGTATTATTTTTGTGAGGTATTATAGTAGTATTTTGAATAATACAATATATTAGTCTCATTGTTTAATTCATAATCATCTATAGAGCAGAGCATTAAACTTAATTTCTTGTTTAATGCTGAGTGAAGTGAATTTTCACAATACTAATGTAAAGATATTAGGAGAAAGAATAAAATACTAATCACCAAACTAACTGTTTCACAAAAGTGTAAATACTAAGCCTAGGACTACAAAAAAGACGCCGAATAATCTATTTTGTATGATGAGAGATTTCCTAAAACAAATTTCAAAAGTGGTGCAAAACATTTTTTATTTTACCTAGAAAGTAGTAATGTATTGCATTAATGGTGCAATTTACTTAAAATCAGATAAACACAGACGCTTTTGTAAGGTAAAAGAATAACAGGAAAAGTTTTAAATTGGTTCTTAAAATGATGTACGTTTAAACAGTGAGCCAACTCGATTAGTATCAGTTTGCTTCTTTCATAGGAGTGTAATGCTTTTTAGCTTGACAACTCTTATTGGTTCTCCGATAGACTGTCAAAATTGATATTCGAACCTAAATAACTGTTGAGTAGCAATGATTTTTCATTAGATTAAATGTTTGCAAATTACTCTCAATAAAAAAAATCAAACATTTATTTACTATGTAAGAGTAGGGAATTGCTACTTTCCTTGGAAAATTGTGTAAAAACCACAATTTTGTTTGTGTCATGATACATTTTTGGTTGTCATCTAGTACTATACATACCAAATGCACTTCCTGCGATTTTCTTTTCGTCAATATTTGAAATTCATAAGCTTTAATACTTAATACTTTAAACTTTTCAATCAAATGGCGACCATACAAAGTAGGTTTGTTAAGCCAAGTATGAATGGAGATGAGTGTAGAATGAGTGGCGCGATCTTGTAGTCTTGTTAGTGACTAAGGCTGACATATTCCTTAGACAAAGCTGTTAATTAATAGCCCATACAGCTAATGACAACTAAGGGACCTACAGCTTATAGTGGAATCTGAACCACATTTTTCCTTGGTATATAAGAATTGGTCTAATTATCAGGATAGCACTGCGGATAGTCGTAATACCCACTCGTGCGGACGTTAATCCACACCAGGGAGTATCGCATCCACAGTGCATGCCTACAAATATCCACAATTCGTGACCTCTTAGTAGCTGGATTACAGGACGACGCCACCCGTCCCAGTCATACTACTACATATTCTAAATCCCCTATTTTAACCCTTCTTTTTCACACTCCATTCACGTCATCCCAATTGTTTGTCCATTATCGCTCTTCCCTCACGACAACCTGGTGCGTGTGAACACTGTAAACTACAGTAGTTGAATCAAAGAATAGTGATTCAAAAGTATAATCAGTCTACATTCAATGAACAGATGATAAAACAAATTTAAAAGGAACTCAGAAGGATATATAACGAGTGTGTTTATAAACAAAATTAATTTTTGAGAATATATGTTAATTGTAAGAATATGGTGCGGAAAATGAGGCTCTTTTAAGTTATTTTTCTCCCTCCTATTTGACAAAAATCTGTATTAGCGTGGCTCAAGATCATTTGCATCTTTGTCGCAACTTTACTTATAAACTTCAAAACTGCAAATTCTTAGACAAAACAGCCATTATCAACCCGTATTTTTCACTTTTAGTATACTTACCATTAACACACTATTACCACCACAAAGGTTTCCTTCCCAAAGTAGTTTGAAAATATTTTAATCAAAACATTTTTTGATTGCGTTCACAAAATTTTTTTCCGTTTACTTTCTGCAATAAAACAGCTTGTCAATATTTTAACACATGTTTTTAAATCTACATGTTTTTATTTACTTAATTATTGTTTTTATTTTTACCAACTTAAACATCTAGTGCAACGGTATATTAGTTAGGCTATCGGTAAGCTATTCTGAATTTAATTAGTGATTTAAAATCTTACGCAATCCTGACAGATATTGTTTCTCGCCACAAAAAAGCCGGAAAAGGACACTCAACAAAAAACCCGCTGCACATTGAAAAACGGTACCGGTTTTTAAAACCCGTGTGGCGGCCATCGTGGTGGCAAGGCCAATGTGTTGTTCAGTGCTTCAAATCAGCTGATCGTCCTATTATCACACGGCGTGTCTCCTCAAGGTCACCGGGACAGTGTTGCCAACATCACGGAAGCAGCGTTGCCAACCTAACAGCAGACAGTGTTTACTCATCATGTTGGGAAGACTGTGGCAGCTGTTTTGTGAGTGGTTGGACATTCTGCAACGTTTTTTTACAGCATCCTGTTGTCCTGGATTGAACAGTTTTGACACAGAAGATGAAGAAGAGGAGGAAGAAAATCTTTTGGAAAGCCCAGTGGACAAGACTGACAAAAAAGACTAAATAGTGAAGTGCGCTCCTAACGTTCGTTATCTAGTGAAATTTTCAATCCTGTTAATACATTTTAAAACTATTTAAACGTGTTTTGCCGAAATTTAATATGAAATGTTGTCCCCATGTTTTGCCGAAAATGAGTTACCAAATTGCTAAGTCATCTAGGAAGGAGGCCTCGATTGTTGGTATGCTAATGATTTATACTTACGTAGTTGCTTAGTCAAGTAGTTGTTTGGCTTAGTTCATTTGTTTACTAAAGTGTATCGTAAAAGTAAAACTGAAAGTGTAAAATTTGTTGACACGACTACTGTTTCTTCTCAGTTTTGAAAAATCCACGTTTATTTCCCTTTTTATTTGCTCAGAAACCTGTAAACTATTTAATGAATACAATTTACTGTAGTGAAAATAAACTTTAAGTGCCTTATCATAATCTATCTTAACCTAACTTTAGCACGGTATATAAACTGAGAAATATAGTCTGAATTTAGTTAGGACATTGAGATGTTTCTTTCCCTTGCCCAAAGTAGGCTAAATAATAATTATCGAATTATTTATTGTCATACGGTTATAACAAATTAACTTGAAGAAAAGACCTGTATAGGTAATATAGGTTAAAAATAAAACACAGAGTTTAACTTGTTGAAAACATTAGAGAATTTCCAGGGTATTCTAAAATCGACCTTTTAGGTATCACCATTATAGTTACAGAATTACTTTTTTTCGCCTATAGGTTCATATTTTGATTGATTTCATATGTGTACAATCCTTGAATGTGCATACAACTATGCGTTCAATGTACCTATGTAATAAAACTCAGAAACTATATCCAATATCACTGTGTAAGTTGTCTTACAAATTTGCATTATTTTAACCACGTAAAATAACTATACGTAACGAAACATTTAGGCTACCTAATTTCCCTTACCAATGTGACAAGTTTGATTGAATCCTAATATAATTTTAAGTGACATGCAATAAGGTTATTATTTAAATTTTTAACAGGTTAATGATGATGATGACTTCAACAAAAGTCAATAACAACTATAATAATATTAGTATGATCTCATAACAAAATAGCAATCATTATCGACGAGAATATAATAATAACCTATAAATAACCTGACAACAAAATAATGACAGAACCATAACAATGCCCATTAGTTAACAACGAATTACACTTACAACCTAATACCTAATTACTTGGGCTACTTAATACCTAGCTATTCTGTGTAACTTGTGGCTATCAGGAAAAGGTAAAAGCATGAGACTTTATGAATATAGGTACCTAGAGGCATTTTAACAATACAGTATAACTATTCATACTTTACCACAAGACTAAGTTTTGTTTCTACATTTGGAATAGCATTAGGTATATAGGTATTTCTTTTGGGTATAAAGTTTATTTTTGACGATGGTGAGCTTATTTTATCCAAGAGAATTATTGTAGACGTTTTCCATAACGATTAATTGAAATATTGTAAACGCCTTGTTTTTGTGTACTTGCTTGTGCGTAGATGAAATGCATTACTTATCTAAACTTCTAGTAGCCTATACAAAGTAAACGATTACAGTATGCATAGCAAATGCTTAATCTAACGTCATTGCATGTTGTAGGCCTATTCAACCAAAGTATCCAAAGTCAATGCTTGTTGTTAGCTACTGCGAGAACACGTGATAAGATGATTGCTGCAGTTTATAATCGGACATAAATGATTCCCATCCTAATCGCTTGGTAATTCTCTGGGGGTTTCCAGCCGTCTGTTTGAAGGCCTTTGAAATGTATTTTTATATCATGATTACGTCCTCATCTCTCACACTGCTGGTTTGGTTATGGTTAAAGCAAGAATATTCCTTGTACTAATAACATACCTCGTCACAGGACATTATTGGGGATTAAACGTTAAATGTTTTTATACAACGTCAAAGTATTCATGTCTGGCATTGCTATTTGTTACGTACTGTAGTGTCAAACATATCCCACACAGCAAATATGCTGTCTAAATTATTGGTTGCTTGATTTTGAAACATTTGCGAACACTAGAAACATAAACTCAACTGAAATGCTAGGTGATGAATTGAGTAAGATCATAGAGTGTCAGCCGTGCTGCGGTTACCATAGGTTCTGGCGCACAACGCCGTGAGCGGCATGTAGTTAACGGCATACGCGCTACGTAACTACACAGCGCGGCGCTCCCAGCGGTATGCGTCAGAACCTTTGGTAACCATGGTAACCGCAGCACCGCCGACAGTGTATTATTTAATTCTTTTTGTCCATGGTAAGATGCACTGGCTAGCCTTGTTAATATGCTAAAGATCAGCTGTTTCTTCAGCCAGAACCATTTGTGTAAACCAACCTTGTGAGAAACCTAACTGGGCCCAATTCAAATCATAAAACAGCTACTGCCTTTATTCAGAATTGAACCGGCGACCGTTTTATAACCAGGAAAGCACTACAGTGTATGCACTCTCCTAACCAGGTATAAGAGGTCTTTCAAAGATTGATCTAATGGGGAACATATTTTTTGTCATTGAGTAAACATATTGCATCAACTATTGAGTATAAAACTGTTTTGTTGAGGTATCTTGTAAAAATCATTCCTTTATGGGATACAAATATAACATAGTATGAGGGTATGTCTGCGACTTCAATGACACGATATGATTATTCTAATAATGCAGAACTAATTTTGTCTGATATATTAAGCAGGAAACTCCTAAAAATACTATTTAAAACCCAAAATACGTGTCAATGCTGTTGATACAATAGTTTGTTTTGAATGTCTGAAAATAAGCCGTAGAACGAACGATTGTGCTTCACTAGCTTTGCCTGATATGGTTAGCTCGACCCTACAACTACTAATTGACTATAAAGGTATTAATTAACATAGTCAATGCAACCCATACAGTGGTGCTAAACATTTGGAGTAGAGAGATGATCTTTGCGTTGGACGATGTGAATTTTTTTTCTGCAAACAATTTATTAGACTGTTTACATTTGGCTAATCTCCAAGAGCCACAGATATATTTGAAATTCCTATATTTTGTAACTGTTAGCCCTACTACTTTCAAAACAGCACTATATAACTGTTGTTAATAAACATAGTTATACAAGAATTGCTAATTAAATCTACTACAAATTGGTTTCATATAAAATAACTGAACTAAGTAATCAACAAACTACAAACACGGCAATAATAGAACTGCTGCTAACGCATGGCGCACTACAACGCACGTTGAGAAGCTAATGTTCGTTGAGGATGGTCTACCACCTACTGCAGGCGCTATGCTTGCAATGTGATGTGTGCTGCTTTTCAACCTTTACCACCAATGCGTGCAAGCAACTAGCTTATAGATCTGCTAAGTTAATTTCCTCTATACTACGTTCCTTGGAGTTAAATCAAAATGCATACATTGTAAAGTTCCACTGTTGATAATTTGTTATCTTTGTAGATTTGTAACCTGTTAGCAATCATCTTAAAATAACATATGTCTCCAGATTTTTTAGTGTTACTAAATTCATTTTCGACATACTGTAGCAAAAAAAGCCGTTTTCAATGCAAATGCGTTGCGGTTCTAAATTAGCATTTTACAGGAAGTAAAAATCTATTGTCAACTCAGTTGCCAATTTCGATTGTAAACAAGTGCATATTGAAAGTATATATCGATTGTTTAATCGATTGTGGTTAGTTGTTGCATTATTGTGATTAGTTCGACATACCGATATTATAATGTACATGTACACTAACACAATCTTAATAGACGAAACGATTGAATCACTTACCAAACAGCTGCTTGTTTTCACTAGCAAATTAAATAAAAAACAAGCTAAAAGTAGTGTTGAGATGTTTTCTTTAGATTAAAACTATTTCAGTTTTGTTAAAATAATAGTTTGTTTAAATAATGGTGCAAAACTAGGAAAAATATAGCAGTGTCTACTTGAGCTCGGGCCAAAAGGCCCTAGTGATGAAATATTGTACGAACTTTTACTTCTACTGACAAAACCAATTAATTACAAAAAGTAATTTTACTGTTACCTTACACTAATTTAATAAAATGACAAAAATGTGTGAACCTTGGACAATACAAGACGATCATGTTCATTTCATACGTTGTTACATTTAGAGGATATTCAGCTCTGGGGGATTAAAACTACAAATTGTTATATAACATAACAACATTGCAATGACGCATTGCTGGGTATGGTGTTATGGTTCTTACATTTGACTTACCTGTTATTTTATTTTCAGCTCATGGAATCTCCGTCGTTGAGCGCCCTCCGAGTCTTCGCTCTCTGTCCAACTCTGTCCTGGTCACTTGATGACGATCACGCAGACCACACTTTCTGTCACTTTTGTACTTATTTATTTGTGAATTGTTTTGTTACGATGTCTTAAATACATTGTTTTGTTTTGTAACTGTTAACTTGATTCCTCATTCAAATTTGTTGGTTATTTAACAACAAGCATTGAGTATACACGTTACATGTATACTCCATGCAACAAGCCAATATAATAAATACATCGCTGTTTCAGTTAATCACAAATTACATTTTTAGTGTTATTGATGTTTTAGTGAAATTATTTGTCCTTCATTAATAAAATAGTTCAAGAATTTTCAAATACTCAGTACTCGCTCCAATAATTCCAAGTTACTAATTTGGATGTTTAATTAAATTGACTGTATTTGCTAGAGAATACTATATAGTAATATGCACATCGTGTCGATAGAATTTTGTTTGGTGCTACGAACTGTACGTGTTGAATCTTAAAACAATAAGTGTTAAAAAATGGATTTTTTATACTTGATAGACCATGGGTTGGAAATTGTATTTAGTTTAAAGTCTCACCCCAAGACTTTTACAAGGTATAATCTCAATTTGTTGTTAACTTTTAAATCTTAAGTCATTATTTGAAATGAAAGGTAGGTAATATTAATTGGTATAAACAAAACTTATAGCATTTAGTAAACGTAGTGATTTACAAAATGTATCCCGTATAATAACTAAAATAAGTTGAATGGTAAATCAAGTGCAGAAAATTGTTTATCGTCAGATTAAATGTTGATACCAGTTTTCAACTTCGTGTTTCCATCGTAAATTTTGATAAATCGCCCAAACATCTCATCGGAGACTCAAATTGACAAGGATTGGCTGTCAAAAGTACATTAGACGTTGTCATTCCCGCTTCTTCAATCAAAATGTCGAGAAAAAGAGGAGAAATGTATTCTGTTACCGGTATCAGGATGGTTATAAAATACTGTTCAAGAGTTACGATTCTGAAATTAAATCAGTTTGGGATGCATGGAGAGACACTTCAAGTGATATTTTTTTATGCAACTTTCAGTTGACGGTATTGTATGTATATTCCTCAAAATTTGTTTTTGATTAATTTATTATAATCTTACATGTGCAAAGAGAATGACTGGTTATCGTAATGATGTCTAAAAAACATAAAAAAAAAATTACAACTGGTAGGCCTAGTTAAAAGTCCACCAACGAACGCATACAGTAGGTCTAGGTATATATTCATTCTATTTAATACTTAACTGACGTACTGGGGAGTTAGAAATAAAAACGTACATTTAAAAAAAGTATATTTAATATAACTCACATGATGTTCTTTAAAATTCATAGAATTTATCTAAATGTTGTTATGATTCCACATAAGTGATCATAGCTCTTTGGTTTAACATTATTTAATTTCATAATTATGGTAGGGCCTATAATACAAATCTCAAGAATCAGAAGTCACCTTAATCCACCATAAGGCTTCAAAAATTAATAAAAACGTCATTTTGGCAACAAATGCTGTGTTGTTCGAAAATAATACCTGAAACAATAATTTATTGTTATAAATTTAGTTGTTTACAGACTGGAAGACTAAATCTCAAAGAGCATTAGACCTACGCCAGATACGTCTACGCACTTTTAATTTTATAAATATCTGGTCAAATGTTTGTCTTTACGTGTTTTGTCCATGTACGTTTGTATATTTTCCTATTATTTTTTTGCAAAAAACTACGTGTTTTAAGTGACACCCTTGTGGCCTCTGAGAGTCGAACCCGGTAACCTATACAAGATACAATAATCACGCCGGCAGTTACTGTACTAAAAACCAATATTTGATTTTTAATTCTGAGGGTGTCAGATATAAGGGAAATTTTCATACTTACCATAGTACAAGTATAGCTTTTATATAGTTATCAGTAACCAAAATGGTAGAAGCCGAGAGTGTTTTTAGCTTAAAATATAATTTTTACTTCCCTTTACTGATGGGAACACTATGTATGTAACTATTTTAATCACTCCAACAATAATTATCTATACACGAATATTGTCTCAATTGCAGGTAAAAATAATGACGATGCTTGATGGTCAATGACTAAATAAAATAATTTATAACCCTGACTCTGCTCAATTTTGTGATCGACACTGCGATTGCCACCAAGTATATTTTATGTACTATCATACTTATCACTTTTATTTAATGTAATATTATCTAAAACTCTATTTTCTCTATTTGTTAATGTCACTGAGATAGCTGATAGCTATTCTACTGTACATATTACAACGAGTAAATCAAATCAAATCAAATCCATTTATTTGCATCAACTTTATAAATACATGTATAGCAACGTCATACAATTTCATCACAGTATATCCATTAACCTACTTAATATGATCTACAAATTCTTTGACCTAATACACACATAAATCACACAAAATCTTTCTAATAGTAAATTGTTGTATTTCAAGACATTTAATGTGAGCAGGTAACATAATATACAATCTTTTGCCAAATTCACTAAAGTTATTGAATGTGGTCATAAAATTACATTGGTTTGGACGGAGAAAAGTGTTTTGTCTGGTAAAATGGTTATGAACTGAATCATTTGTAGGGAACTCTCTAATATTATTTTTAATATTCAGTAAACAATCTAAAATGTACAGAGAAGTGACAGTTAAAATTCCAAGTTTCTTGAATAATGGCTTACAATGTGTTTCACTGTCAAGATTGAATATTGCCCTAACAGCTTTCTTTTGCAACAGTTTCAGCTTCCAGTTTCAGTTTCAGTTTAGTTTAGTATTATATCTGTTGGGCTTGAGAGTTAAGACTTGCCGTATTCAAAATCAAAGGAAACACTAAATTATTACATCAGCACACTATCTGATGGACTTTTTCACCTTCTTTAATTATTATTCAAAAGCAGGACACAACTTAAACATAAACATTTTATATCCACGTATATTCATAATCAAAGATTAAACTCACCTAAGCCAAGGGTCTACATCTCCCTCCAGAATCTCTCGCGAACGAAGCTTCACACATCCTTGGAGGGACGTCTATCAGTCTAGGCAGAGCCACCATGGGGTCCTGTTCTTGAGGGTTCCACTGGGGCGGAGCCCTAGACACCAAAAAGCACGCTGTGACCCCTTGTCCGGCCAAGAGCAGCAGAAGGTAGGCGAGGAACATTGCGTAGTCTGTTTGTTGTTGACAGCTGACAGTGCAATGTACAAATCAGCTGTTTTACGTTTGCGGCGGTTGTCATTGTTTTGATTCTGATGCTAAACTTTGTTACTCCAATGTGTAATCAATACGGATATTAGCATGGGTCAAAGATTTAGGTTCTCATTCTTATAAATCAGCTAAGGACGATTTTATTATTAATTTCGTCCGGTGCACTGTAGAGGTTGTGTTTTGTTTACAATTTATTTCTTGTAATTGCAGTCGTTTAACAAATACAGGGTGATTCCAACCATATGCTACACTATTGAGGCTTAGATATTTTTTTGTTTGTTTTAGTGGTTTGAATACCAGAAAACAGGGAACTTTTTTACTATTTTTAATGTTCAAGCTGAAACAAAAATACAACTTTTGCTTAATACATGCCGACTTTCCATGTTTTAAATGTTAAAGACACCACGCTTTGTAGTCTTCAAACTACTAAAGCGTACATAAGCAGACATAAAGCTCAATGGTGTAGCATATGGTTGGAAAGCTTATAAAATGGCGCAATTTTTAAAATATTCCGACACTTTCTTGTATACAGAGTGTGAAAAATGCAATAGACCATTTTTTTTTTAATTTTTATCAAACATCTTACTTTTTATCTTTCAGGCATTACTAAGCATTACTTAAGGATGGTTCGTGTCAAGTTTGGTGCATATCCAAATGGATTTCGCCCCAGAGGGGTTTAGGGGGTCCAATGTCAGATATTTGAAACTACAATGTTTACAAATGAATATCATTTAAAAGCATCTGTTTACTTTCTGTTTAGCAACTTTTTGTAGTCTTGATTAATCACAACATTCTGTATTAGTCATGATTTGAAATAGTGCCACACCGTTACCATAGAATGCAGCACAGAAAACTATCTTACTACTCGGATAATCTAAGTCCAAATATATTAAGCCACAATTGCAGCTCACCCGTGCATTCAGCAACGTTTAAATGCTCCACCATTAAATATGCCGATCCGTCAAAAGGGCTCCACCCCAAAGGGTTTTAAGGCACAGTGTTAGTCAGCGAATTTCAAATCGATATTTCAATGTTTTTCACATGATCAAAGATCGAATATAAAATATCGATTATCATTATTTTATATTCCAACAATTGTTGACAAAACATAAGATGTTGGTCTACCTTTAGTGACATATTTTCATGTAATATGAACCCCGCTGACGAGGTTAACGCATGCCTAAAAGCATATTACTTATGGTACTACGTTGAATGATAACTCTTTAAACGAACATGCGTGTACAATTACTGAAAGAAGCAATTGCAGAAACAATTTTCTTAACAGCTATTGGACCATATTTAATAACTAAATTGAAATAGACCAAATTACAAAAGAGATTTCGTTTTCCTTAATCTTCTACAAACTGCAACAAAATATTCAATCTGCTGTAGAAAATGCATTCCCAGACTTATCAACAAATTTCAAAGATCCAGAGTGGGTTTGTGAAGGTGCAATTTTGGCCCCTAAAATGATAATATCGTCTATAGTTGTGTGCTCAAGAGCCATATCCTTTTTTCCAGATAGAAGACTTACAGGTTTAATTGGGTTCCCAACCACTGGGTAGTATACAATGAAAGTGCCAGTGAAAGATAGTATTTGTACTGAGACTTATTGGGCAGAATACTGCATTTCATCACTAATATACAATATGCAACATTATCAAAACAAACAGCAAGTCTGGCTACCGTAGAGGCATGATAGTGTCACACTTTCTATCTCGTTCGGATACTGAAAAATTCGCAAAGAAAACTGAAAAACTTTAATTGGGTATCTTTATTATACAACACAAAAGCGTTTTATGCTCCTATGACTATTTCTCCTACAATTTTGAAGAAGTCATGTTGGGGACAATTGCTATCACGTGTCTTCTTGAAGTTCTCGTACGACTCTTGGTTAGTGAACGCCTCAGCATTCAGTAAGAATGGTGACGCAGCATTGGTAAAGGTCAAGTACGGTCCGTTTCTGAAAACATAAATGTTTTAAAATTTATTACTTTCTTAAACTCACTGTCAGGTCATTTGTACTCATAATTTTAAACACCTTCATGATTTGGAAATAATACATTTAATGTAGGCTAAAACGTAATTTAACGTTTATCAAAACTCTTCATTTTTAGCGTAATAGGACCTCAGCAGTACATTTTTGAATGTTTTATGACTTAAAATATGGGAAATTGATCAAACGATTGATAAAATTATAAGACGATGCTGCGATTACGTGCCAGGTGCGACCGTGCCGGATGCGACCTAGCAGAAATCGTGCCAGTAGCGACCCTGCTAGTAGTGAGAGTGCAACTAGCGACCCATTTGAGAGATGATATTTTACAATGTTTTTTTTTTTCAAACATATATTAATATACTACTTTACTATTTGCACATAAACAAACCCTATACACGTTACAATAATATGTACCAGAGTCGATTAGAATCTTTATTTTCCAGCTGCTACATCGAGAAGGTTGGGGGTTGGACTTGACGCAACCCTTTTTACATGCTTTTAAAATTTTTTTCTCTAAAACATCAGGTCATCAAACAGTACTGTATATGCAATCAATTCGTTCCCTTTTCGTGCCTTGTGCTGCTTATTTTTTCTTGCATTGTGTGCTTATTTTAACTAATTTGCATGGCTTGATGCGTTCAAACACTTCTTAAGTTCTCATCCCCTGTAGAAGCAAACATAAGTACTCACTAAACCTAATCCGAATCACACTGTTAATCTACAAGTTAATCGAACATCGTTAACATGAGCGATTGTAATTGACATTCTTTGAAAATCATATTAGTGTTTCATATTAGTGGTCGATAAAAGTACATACTGTCGTATGGATTTCGTACTATCGTTATGTTATTTTAATAGGGAATAAATCTAGCATTTTAAAGGAAATGTTGTAGTGAAAATCTAATCAGGCCAATAGAAATTCGCTTAGCAGGTTTACAGCAGTGTAAGCTTTTTGAATTTAATGTTTGAGCTGGATTTAAAATAAGAATTTACACTGAACGTACTTTACAGAATTATAGAGATTCGTGAGCGTAAATAGTAGAATTCCTGAGGCAAAGGATAAAAAAAGAAACTTTAAACTAAGCTTTACTATGGTGGTTTTGAGTGAGGGGTCTTCCTGTCAAGGTAATTTTTTGCATTCACGATATCAACCTCATCCAGTTAACATGGCCTGAGCTAACCGATGATCATTTGTCTATTAATGTTTGTAACCTAGTTGGTAACAGCAGCTTACACTCCTTCAGTGGGTCTTTCCCCGAAGTCAGCGAGAGTTTCCATCGTGGGCATCATACATGAGTTTCCCACATACTCATCGAAGCCTTGGCAAGGGAAAGCCTTCAACGGCTTCTTGTCTGCCACCGTTTCCGCGTAAAACTTGACAGCTCGCAGATGCGAACAGCTGGTGTCTGAAATGATGGGTCAAATCACAGGAAAAATGCCATCGTTATTTTGTTGTATATTTTAGTAATATATTAAAAAAGATATTAGCAAAGATTTACACTATATCGATTATACTTAAGGGTCAGCTAAGGAAAGTTTGAGGTTGTGGGTTTCTCCAGCAATTAAAGAGGGCATTATTTTAAAAATTGGTTTCATTTCAGCCAAATAAAAAAATCATATTGTATTAACAAATTTTCTCTAGCTGTTATTTAAGCCATAAAAAAGACTTCGATAAATATATTCCAAAATAGTAAATCACCCGATATGCTTACCGGATACTAAACACATACCAACGTATAATTTAGATTTTACTATAATAGTCCAGAGTAATAGGGGATGGATTCTTGGAAGATTGGAGTTAAAATAATTATTATATCTTACTAATATTATAAATGTGAAAGTATGTGTGTTTGTTTGTTTGGCATGATAGTAGCTCACATTCCCGATTAACATATAAACCTATTCATATCTAAAAAATTCTTTCGGGCTCCGCCCCATTGGCTCTGGAGTTTTCCATGTTAACCTTATAAATATTCATATTTAAAAGGATTAAATAATTTTGTCAGCTGTTCTAACAAAACAAGTTGGTTCTATGATATTTAATAACATTAAAAAGTTATAATGTTTACCAACAGGGTGCAACACTATTATTTTTTTAGTATTTATGACAACAGCTTTATGAGCTAAGCAACAAAAAGCTGTGATACTCAATGAGAACCGTCTAAGTAGGATATTTTACAGTTATATTTATGTTTTTCACTTAATAAATAATTTGTGTTATTGTAAGAATTTTTGATAGTTTACTTTTTTCTATCGTTAGGCACAGTGGTAGGACATTATGGCTATCACAGATGTGTTATACTATATAGGTGTTACCGTAATTAGAACCAAATTTTCTCAAACCGTGTCCTCCCCAATTGCAAACGTAAAGTACGAGTATAACACTGCAATGAGAATTTTATACGTACGCCAAACCCACGAATGACAGGTACTCTGCTAGTATATATATATATATATATATATATATATATATATATATATATATATAACAGAAGATTGAGAAAAAATGGAGTTGTAATGCATCTTGCCTTCTAATAGTCACCAACCTCTCACAATTTGTTTAAGAATGCTTTCTAGTAAAAACGTCGTATGGTACGTTTAGATCATGTTTCTATCGTATTGTGCGATTTTTTAGAACGCTCCCTACTCACCCCCCTGCTACAGCGATTTTGAGCACCTGCTAGGAGGGTGACAACATTGGTTTTGATCATCTCCAAGAAGCCCCAAACAACAATTAGAAACCAAATGCGTTACACTTCTAGTGTATGCTCAGCCCCTCCACCCCTATAAGTTCTTGTCTATAGGCCTAAGATGAGAAGTCTACCTCAATTCAATACCTATGTATAGCGATAAGCAGTGAGTTTTGTTACAGTAGTCATCCACGAATTCAACACTAGTTACTACATTTATTTGTCCTCATACTCGGCTCACGATGTCACAACATTGGAGGAAAAGACATTAACGACACCATCAGTGTAAAGTAACTTTATACGATTTATATCGTTTTACACTGTATACATCTCATTAGGTCAGATGATATTACTGCTGTTATATTGAAAGACATTTTTAATTATGTAGCTGATTTCTGGAATATGTGTGCTGATGAGGTGAATTAAACATTTGTTTACGGGATATGAGTTTACCCAAGGCCCCACTAGAAAAAACAGGCCATGTTGTAGCGCGGGCAGCGCAACACTACGTCACACTGGTGGATAGCTGTACTAAAATCTTACCATTAAAATTTGACAAACACTCAAACAGCCAGCTTATATACCTAAAACATATGGGATATGACAGTGAATCTATTAATGAATCTATATACTAATGTGACGTCATGGATCCTGCAGCATGGCCTGTTTTTCTAGTGGGGCCTTGGTTTACCTCAAATAATCATAAATTGAGATGTTAATTGGAGTTTAATTTGACGCTGGTTTGGAATCTGCTAACATCAGAAAGCAAAGACATTATCGTCACAATAGGTTATAAATCCCACCTTCATACTTGTCATCGTTTTATCGTAAATGTGGTTGGCCACAGATTGATTACCTAAGATGACACACATCGGGAACACTTTCAAGTGACAGTGGAATAATGTCTTACCATAAAGACATTGACGAGATTGTAATGAATGACGGCGAAACCCTAGGTGAAAATAAGATTGTCTCAACTTGACGAATGCTCACCACAGCTGCACCCTGGCTGGTTCATCTCGTCGTTCAAGTAGAGATCCACAGTGCCACTGGCGTCATCTCTACCCTTCAGCCCATTGTTGGAATGCCAGACGGCGAAACCCTAGGTGCAAATAAGTTTGTCTCAACTTGACGAATGCTCACCACAGCTGCACCCTGGCTGGTTCATCTCGTCGTTCAAGTAGAGATCCACAGTGCCACTGGCGTCATCTCTACCCTTCAGCCCACTGTTGGAATGCCAAACGGTGAAACCCTAGGTGCAAATAAGATTGTCTCAACTTGACGAATGCTCACCACAGCTGCACCCTGGCTGGTTCATCTCGTCGTTCAAGTAGAGATCTACAGTGCCACTGGCGTCATCTCTACCCTTCAGCCCACTGTTGGAATGCCAGACGGCGAAACCCTAGGTGCAAATAAGATTGTCTCAACTTGACGAATGCTCACCACAGCTGCACCCTGGCTGGTTCATCTCGTCGTTCAAGTAGAGATCCACAGTGCCACTGGCGTCATTTCTATCCTTTAGCCCACTGTTGGAATGCCAAACGGTGAAACCCTAGGTGCAAATAAGATTGTCTCAACTTGACGAATGCTCACCACAGCTGCACCCTGGCTGGTTCATCTCGTCGTTCAAGTAGAGATCCACAGTGCCACTAGCGTCATCTCTACCCTTCAGCCCACTGTTTGAATGCCAAACGGTGAAACCCTAGGTGCAAATAAGATTGTCTCAACTTGACGAATGCTCACCACAGCTGCACCCTGGCTGGTTCATCTCGTCGTTCAAGTAGAGATCTACAGTGCCACTGGCGTCATCTCTACCCTTCAGCCCACTGTTGGAATGCCAGACGGCGAAACCCTAGATGCAAATAAGTTTGTCTCAACTTGTCGAATACTCACCACAGCTGCACCCTGGCTGGTTCATCTCGTCGTTCAAGTAGAGATCCACAGTGCCACTGGCGTCATCTCTACCCTTCAGCCCACTGTTGGAATGCCAGACGGCGAAACCCTAGGTGCAAATAAGTTTGTCTCAACTTGACGAATGCTCACCACAGCTGCACCCTGGCTGGTTCATCTCGTCGTTCAAGTAAAGATCCACAGTGCCACTAGCGTCATCTCTACCCTTCAGCCCACTGTTGGAATGCCAGACGGCGAAACCCTAGGTGCAAATAAGTTTGTCTCAACTTGACGAATACTCACCACAGCTGCACCCTGGCTGGTTCATCTCATCGTTCAAGTAGAGGTCCACAGTGCCACTAGCGTCATCTCTACCCTTCAGCCCACTGTTGGAATGCCAGACGGCGAAACCCTAGGTGCAAATAAGTTTGTCTCAACTTGACGAATACTCACCACAGCTGCACCCTGGCTGGTTCATCTCATCGTTCAAGTAGAGGTCCACAGTGCCACTAGCGTCATCTCTACCCTTCAGCCCACTGTTGGAATGCCAGACGGCGAAACCCTAGGTGCAAATAAGTTTGTCTCAACTTGACGAATACTCACCACAGCTGCACCCTGGCTGGTTCATCTCATCGTTCAAGTAGAGGTCCACAGTGCCACTGGCGTCATCTCTACCCTTCAGCCCACTGTTGGAATGCCAGACGGCGAAACCCTAGGTGCAAATAAGTTTGTCTCAACTTGACGAATACTCACCACAGCTGCACCCTGGCTGGTTCATCTCGTCGTTCAAGTAGAGGTCCACAGTGCCACTGGCGTCATCTCTACCCTTCAGCCCACTGTTGGAATGCCAGACGTCGAAACCCTAGGTGCAAATAAGTTTGTCTCAACTTGACGAATACTCACCACAGCTGCACCCTGGCTGGTTCATCTCATCGTTCAAGTAGAGGTCCACAGTGCCACTGGCGTCATCTCTACCCTTCAGCCCACTGTTGGAATGCCAGACGGCGAAACCCTAGGTGCAAATAAGTTTGTCTCAACTTGACGAATGCTCACCACAGCTGCACCCTGGCTGGTTCATCTCGTCGTTCAAGTAAAGATCCACAGTACCACTAGCGTCATCTCTACCCTTCAGCCCACTGTTGGAATGCCAGACGGCGAAACCCTAGGTGCAAATAAGTTTGTCTCAACTTGACGAATACTCACCACAGCTGCACCCTGGCTGGTTCATCTCATCGTTCAAGTAGAGGTCCACAGTGCCACTGGCGTCATCTCTACCCTTCAGCCCACTGTTGGAATGCCAGACGGCGAAACCCTAGGTGCAAATAAGTTTGTCTCAACTTGACGAATACTCACCACAGCTGCACCCTGGCTGGTTCATCTCATCGTTCAAGTAGAGGTCCACAGTGCCACTAGCGTCATCTCTACCCTTCAGCCCACTGTTGGAATGCCAGACGTCGACCATGGTACCCCTGGGTCTGCGGAACAGATGTTTGTCGGAGTCAGAGAACAAGGGAAGAGCCGGGTCGAACTCTACAATAGTACAAATTTGTAAGTAGCAGTTTTAGAACGAATAGGGAAAGCAGAATATTGAAACAAAATTTGATAAGAAGAATTGGTAAAGGTAAGACCTTCGTTTGAATATGACCAATGTTTACCAGATCCAACCCCACTAGATTAAAAATACTAATTTAAAATTATAACAATAAAAACCATTCAAGACAACAAATCTTTGTCTTTTCAAAAATGATAACAAACCAACGAATATTTTGAGAAAACCCATTGCCAATGCACTACCAGCTCAAGGATGAATAGGTTCGGAATTGAAACACAATTGGCCACATTTTCGAGAATGGATTTTTTTTTACTAAACAATAGATAATAAATGTTTAGAAATATGACAGAAACATTTGCATAACTGTAAAGCCGCATTTATATATTACTTAACAAAAAATATCCAAAACATGTCATTATATCAATTATTGTCATCACTGGTAACAACATAAAAACTTTGAAAAAGGGCTGTAAGACTATGAATTTACACGTTGTAAATACTTTAAAACTATTGATAGCAACTAAATGTCATCAAACAAAAGATCTCTCTTTGGGTTCTGTATTCTTTTGTTTAAAAACCATGCTGCAAACTCCGGCTTGACTGAAGATTGTAAAATAACGAAGTTGAAGGGTCTCTTTACTAGATGATGAACTAGTAAGACTCTAATAGAATGATAGACTCTTTAAATCTTAGATACTAAATTTACATTGTTGTTTTGTCCGGAATTCAAATTATATTGAAAGGATTTTTTTTCGAATCTAATCGCTATTAATGTTAGAGTGTAAGTTTAATAACGTAATAGAAACGATAAAGCTTACGTGTCACTCTGGGCAAGTCAAGGTCTAGAGAGGCCCAGGCCACTACATGCGCTCCCATGCTATGGCCCAGCATGTGCATCTGTAAACAAAGTTTGTAGATATTATGTACTTGTAGTCAATGGCTATGTACGCATATGTAAAGCACAAAATGACAGTATACCGTCAACATGTGCATCTGTAAACAAAGTTTGTAGATATTATGTACTTGTAGTCAATGGCTATGTACGCATATGTAAAGCACAAAATGACAGTATACCGTCAACATGTGCATCTGTAAACAAGGTGTGTATATATTATGTACTTGTAGTCAATGGCTATGTACGCATATGTAAAGCACCTAATGACAGTATACCGTCAACATGTGCATCTGTAAACAAGGTGTGTATATATTATGTACTTGTAGTCAATGGCTATGTACGCATATGTAAAGCACCTAATGACAGTATACCGTCAACATGTGCATCTGTAAACAAGGTGTGTAGATATTATGTACTTGTAGTCAATGGCTATGTACGCATATGTAAAGCACCTAATTACAGTATACCGTCAACATGTGCATCTGTAAATAAGGTGTGTATATATTATGTACTTGTAGTCAATGGCTATGCACGCATATGTAAAGCACCTAATGACAGTATACCGTCAACATGTGCACTTGTAAACAAGGTTTGTACATATTATCATTGACTAGTCAAAGATATTATGTACTTTTAGTCAATGGCTATGTAGGACTATGTAAAGCACCAAATGTAAAGGGAACTGTATATATAAGTTGTAAAACATTTAAAAACTTTTAATTTTGTTTCAAGTTAGGTTGAAGCTATTGTATGGATGTATACACGTCGTTATCTTCAACATGAGCTTTTATCTTAAGATTACCCAATAAAAAAATACAATTACCTGTCCCAAGTCTGTACGTAATCGCTGCACTTGTTTTAAGAACTCCGCCACACACTTGCCTACTGTGGGGATACTGTAAGCTGCCTCGGTGTAGCAATGTTCTTTGCTGATTGGGCTCCAATCAACGGAGATTATGTTCATATCACCGCTCTTGAAGTATGCTGCAAGATTAACGTGCATTACAAATTTGATTCCAATGCCAATAATTGATAACATTGCTATTTACATTTATTCTAGTTTATTAATAAACGTGATTTTAAGCTATAAAGTAACACCTCTATTGTCTAATAAGATATTAGGAAACATCTAAACCTGTTGTAGACAGTTTAAAATAGATAAACTAGTTTATAACAATCACATTCTCTTCATAACTGTATTTCTTCATAGTAAATGAAATGGTGAATGAAATATCATCATCATCATTCTTTTATTGATTTTCCTTCAAGGGTACATCAAATAAATACATTTTCGAACTAAAAGTTAATGAAAAAAAGGTTGGTAAATTAGTTTTACTAATAACTAGGTAAATAAATAAGTATATAAATATTAACATGCAATAAATAATTCAATGAAAACCCCAATAAAATCACACAAATAAATATAAACATAGAATACCGGTAAAAGAATATGAAACACCTGCAGTGATAACTGAGCCAACATTCAAAATTAATTGTATTCAAACATGCATTAAAAGAAAGAGATCTGCATTGAAATTTTAAACGAGGTATTTAAGGGGGATTTGATTCAAGTGGTGGGGAGGGCTGCTGTATGTTGCCTGCGGGCCTTATTTTCCATTCATTCTCTAATATTTCAAAAAATATTTTCAAATGTTACGCAAACTCACGCAATGTCGACATAGCCTATTATTTTCCATAAACATACTGTCCATTCCACATTTGCCCATTCCATTGTACAGTCAATAAAATGCATGCCATCCATTCTCTATTTCCCTACACAGTACACGTTTCTATTTCCTGTCTCATCTTTCCTGCACAACCAGGTTCCTAATCTATATCTCGCTATCAGTGACCTCTGACTTGGTTCAAGTAAACAAACATACATTGCTCCTGACCTTGGCACTCCAATCATCCTTATCGCTTCTAAACTTTTCTTTGTCATCGCCTCAGTCCACAAATAAGAGTAACATGCATTCTTTAAAACATCTTTAATTTGTTTAATATTTTTTAAGCTAAGAGTATCACTTTGCCAGATTTGTTAATATTTTCCGAGAATGAAATATGAATGAACTGAGTGCAGTGAGAGTATTTGAAATGCAAAACTTACAACCTATTTAATATTAATGGTTATTTTTACTATTGTTACGGAGGGGCAGGAACGTTTAAGGGTTGTCGCGTGCGTCTATCTATTATCTCATAGGTCGCCTCAATGGCATAGACGCATAACTGCAGGAGCCATGCACCTTGTCTAGCTATGCATTTCCGTGAAATACAGGATGGAGACCACCTGCTTTGTGTTCCTTAATCCTTACCCCATTGTCAAGTCAAAATTGGATGAGATAGCACCAATTAGTGAGTTTAATCAACTGTAAATAAAATAAATAAATAAATAAATAAAAATGCCTTTATTTACGAGCGAGTTTCATGATACATGTTTTTCAAACTAACTCAAGTCACTAAATCTAAACTATCCTAATATATTTACATAAGTATATATATTAGTATAAATATACGCTGTGGCAGTGACAGTATAGTGACAGGGTAGTGCGAAGTGATGTTGTATTAAGTTATAAACCCTGTAACTTAGCTGTAATTACTGTAAGTAGAAATGTTGTAATTAAGGTAGTTAGGAAATAGATAGGGTTAGCTAGGTGATTATAATTACTGTAATAAAAAAAAATGGTGTTAATTATAAAATTACCACAGTTTTTTAAACGATCCTGTAAGCTCGCAACAATATTAAACCAAATGTCATTTTATGTACCGACTACTCTTCACATGATGTGGTTTTGTATTAGGCAATTATTAAAGCAGATAAGTTTTTTGACTAGTTGATTAGATAACATGCAAAAATCGTTTTGAGAGTCAATATTCCCCTACCAAATTAATTCTATGTTCTGATAAGCGTCAAATAGTCAAAATACATAAATAAATAAATACCACCGCCGCAGCAAACCTGCAGACTAAGCAAATTTAAATTTGTCTGATTCGATTTAAAATTAAATATTTTCATAAACAATACATATTTTCTCCATTTAAATAACTTTAGATTTAACCATTACCTAGGTTTACTGCTACAGAAAAGATAAAAAGCTTTTTCATCAAATTTAAAAGATTAAATAAATAAATGTTCCCAATTTGATCAACATACTATAAACATCAATAAAAGCAAACAACTACTGAATTTGAATTCTTAATCGTCCAGTTTTGGGGACTTTTCTCTGTAACGTGTAATGACCCGATCTAGCTAGTTCGCGAACTAATTCAAGTTTTGCTAGTTCTACACCTTCAAGCTAAATTTCACCAAAATATCATCTAAATTAGTTAAGCTATTGCTTCCATGGATGTGTAAATCGGTCCCGGGTCTATGTCTTACCGTACCACTTACGGTAATAGATTCTTCTCCATAGGAAAATTCGCTAAAATACTAAAAATTACAGTACAAAAACATGATTGCCAATGAATCAAACAATAATCAATATTATAGTCTAAGGGATAACAAAATAAGCTTACCCAACATTCAAAAGGAACGTTTCAGCAGGGGCTCGACAGTTTTACACAAAAGAATAATGGAACATTTATATGTATGTGCCAAGCAATATGTATGTGTCTTATGCGATAATTCGACCATTTCCAAATGTTTTAAAACCAAACAAAATCAGATTGAATATGCTAACTCTCTTGTTACATATAAATTATCAATTTGAGATAGATAATTAACTTACATACATGAAAAACATGTAGAATCTGTTGACTGTATCTCAAGAAGCCCTCAATATACTAATGAGAATTATGATTCAGAGGAGGAAGGTGAACTGGCCACACAATAACAAGCAACATTGCCTATGTAACTGACATGGTTGTTGATGGAATTGCCATTACACAGCAGGCAAGTTCAGAATTCAAGACAACTAAATAGGCCTAATACTGTTCTGATTAATGGTCTGAAAAAACATACCTTATGGTACGGGACAAAATATCGTTTTGTGACGGTCGGTTGCTTAGAGGAGAATCTCTCATTGTCGCGGTACTGTTATATTAGGAAGGTTGAACATAAACTTTGATTAATGTATGTATGATATGCTTTGTTTAGCTGACTACGTCCATTAACAATAATACTTAATGCTACGAACAATTGAATCCCTAGGATAATGAGCAGCCTGAAAATGGCTTGGGGAAGGTTTCCAGGCCATGCTTTACAGCCACAGCGACCTTAACAAACTGAATGTCCAAAATAAAAATAATCTGACAACCTTTATGCTTGTTTTACGGCTTTCAAAAATTATACTTTTAAATTTTAGTTCTAATTGATTATTTTTCATTAGATTTCTTAAAAAAACAATAAACTTATCTTAATTAAGGACATTTATTATATATGTAAGTTAGCTGGGCAATCTTGAACGTCTACATACTAATATAACCAGTAGACTAATTTCTGAGGACCAAAAAATTCCTCGACGGCCCTACTGACTATAGGAACCCTTTTTGACTTACCAGGCCTAAGTTCTTCGTTGATGGCTTTGTCCTTATTCATGGTGTATCCGTGGACAAGGACCTTGACAGGTAGGTTCCTGATGAAGGGCGCGTTTCGTATCGTAGCTTCATCACAAGGGTTGAACTTATAACCATCATTCTGACGATCCCTGAACTTGCATTTTGTTATATCATGCTTAATTATGGTACATTTAATTACAAGTCCGGAAAATATTTGTTTACCGGACGAGAGACGTGTGACAATTTTCCCAATTAATACCTAAACTAACCTAACAATAATAAATAACAGTAAAACAACATTAAACGTCTTTCCAACGACCTAAGGATTTATCACTGAAAAATTATTGGAAGGCCACACTCGTCTAGTAAAAATATATTTTCCGTACTAGTAATGTAGCATACTGTTACCATTCACATTAAATCTAATCAATTTAATATTTTCACAGAAATGTCTGTACAATAGCGTCAAAACTTTAAAACTTAACAAAACTTATTCTGTAAAATAAAAACTACGCACTTGTTGCATTAAATAGGCTATGTAACTCAACTTTTTTAAAGTTTAAGATTATTTTATTACTGAACTTTGTCTAGTTTATTAAGTTCTTCGAGCAACTCTTCATTTGCAACATAAAAACAAACTATCAATTCAGGTTAAGAGTATTTCTAGAACAAAAACAGTAAATTTTGAAACTAAAAATTTAATAACATCTTTTTTATATTAGTTTTTATTAATTATAATCGACCCCAAATACAATCTTACTGGACATACCTTTCTTTACACAACCATACCCCACACCCCTTGAATCCGAAAATGTACTACGAGCAAAATTAAGACAGAGAGTGGCACAAGTTGATGTTAGAACTAGTTTAAAATCTTTTTACATACTAGTTTACATTCTTTGGAAATCATGTACAACTGTTTGAAATTTCATCAAATGAAACAACTAACAATATTCGCGATCGTCTCCCTCAGACAGAAATATGGTCAAAGAGACTGAGATAAATTTAGATTATTTCTACTGTTCTTGATTTTTCACACAATATATTCAGAAAAATGCCAAACACTTACGGATCAAAGTTAACTAAAAAGTGTGTATAGCATCGTAAAATAATAGAAAACATTGGATGGCCCCACATAAAAAACCCCAAGTATTACTTTCCTTGGCTATACTTAAGGCACTTACGTTTAATTATCTTTGACCGTTGTCACCAGTCCCACACAAACTTTTAACCTAGCCTGACTGATAGGCCAGCTTTTTCAAACTGTAAAATTGTTAATAGGCTATCATGTAAACAATTCTTGACGAATATACCTATATCTGGTCCTGACTGATATCTGCCCTGATATCCGAATCTTGTCTTTGGTAGTAGCATAGATAAAACACAACATCTTAGTAGATTTGTCATCCTTATGTCAGTTGAAATCCTTTATGATCAGGGGTGCACTGCAGAGGTCGTGTTTTTATTATTTTTTTATTTCAGCCTTAAAACCTCATTTAGCCAAATAAAATGATCTAACAATAAACAATAACTCGTCCCCTAGTAATATATTCAAACAGTTAAGCACAAACATACAATTGACCCTAAAATAATACACATTAGTAATAATAGAACCTGGTTTAAAACCTTGTTTAGCCAAATGACAAGATCAAATCATAAACAATAACCTGGTTATATAACCAATCAGTAAAGCATAAATCATGAAGTTAACCCAAAAATAACAGAAACAAGATTACACCGTCAGTAGCCAATATGAACTAGACAGAACAAATGAGATTACAAATTTACAAAGGGACGAGAATAGTTAGTATTTGGTAGTAGTTACCGATTATTACAAATGTGTTTTCGTCCTCACCTGGTATAGAGCCAGAAGGTGACTTGATTGTTTGGACACTGTAAGTCAGTGTATTTGTCGCATTGTACACCAGGCTTCTTGTCGAACAGGCTGATCACAGTTTGGCGAATCTTTTCACCAAGATCGAGTGAGTATACTGTACCTATTACCAAAAAGGAATAAGTTAATACATGATTTTGCATTAGTGAAGAAACTAAACAACATAATTTTTTTAATACGGTAAAAGAATCTTTCTAATTTGATAGACAGCTAAGGTGTCTGGTTCAAATTCTATAAGCTGATTTTAAAATGTTTGACTTCTACAAGGAAAACTTCAAGTAGTTTCCTAAGAAGTTATTTTGATCACCCAATATTTATTGGTTAAATGATCAAATTTTGAATTAGCAACTGCAAAACCCGTACAAGTACGATTATGACATTTAAAAACCAAGATTCTTGTAATTGGTTCTTCTTACCGATTTGTAAAAAAATTTACATTTACTAAGGATTTCAGACTATTTTCTGTCAAGCATTACATAAAAGTAAACAGCTGTCTATGGAGTTTAAAATTTTAAAATAAAATAAAATACAAAATTAAAAATGTTAGTGCACTTTTAAAATTTAATAAAATGTTAAGATTTGCCGAATTCATTACAAAATATAACAAGGAGGCCCTATTTCAATTTAAGTAAATAAATTTAAGGAGTAGAACAGTAAAAAATAAATAAAATAAAAATGAAATAAAACCATATACGCAAAGAACTTTTTTTTACATACCTGGGAAAAGACAGAATGCTAAAGTGGAAACACCTAAATAAATCATATTTTAGGCTAAAAGACTTCTGGCTCTTGTAGTCTGCAGAAAGCGTTTGGCTGAACTTTAATAGTGAAGTATTATACAGAACAACAATGACAAGAATCACCTGTTGGCGTGACACAACACAACAATGCCCAGCTGTGGAAAAGCTGTGGGAGTTTCCTACATGACGTTTCCAAAGTGAATAATCAAGTAAGGAATACACAGATTTTTAGATGAAGAAATGGTTTGGGATTAGCCATAAGGACATTTGGATCTAGATCTGACAACTACTGCTTCCACTTTTATTGGTAAGCTTTTAGCTTTAAAAAACAAATTAATTTTTGTTGAGAAAGCTAACCAATAATGGAATGGAAACACTTTGAAAGAACAATTAGATGATTATGCCCTCATGATCTTCCAATAGGAACCCAAAGGAGAGGTATAAATCGACGAAGAGATCATTTTAAAGTGTAAGCTAAGTTCATGAATTACTCCCCTCAAGATAAAAATTTATATTATAATTAAATGTTTTGATTTTTTACTGGTTGGTTTAAGACTTACAACTAAAAGTTTTAGATTTAAATCTTTAACACATAACTGTATCACACATTTTTGTAGAAAAACTTTGTTTTGAAACTAATTTCTCCAAATTTTAAATATTCTTGTTTCTTGAAACGTCTTTTTCTTGTAATTTCTTGCAACAGTCACAAGACCAGTGTTTCGACCGTTCACTTAAAAAAAACAAAAAAAAAACGCCAATGACACACAAATCACTAACATAGAAAAGTAGCATAATATGTTATATTATCAAAAATGTGCCCATTTTAGGTATTTGTTTAGTAAAACTGTGCTACGCGTGTGCCATTTCCGTGGTCAGTTACAACAATGCCATTAGCGATTTGACGGTCACTTGTAGCAAGTGCCATTATCAAACGGCTACTTCGGCCTCGTGTGGACCAGTTCGCTCACTAGGTGACCTTACCCACTGGATATCATTATCTCACAAGTCAGTTCTGTGTTTACCTCTCTGTCGAACAGTGTTTTAGTCTTCTAGTGATCGCAAAACGTTACTAACAGTCTTAATAATCAATACGTTTGGCAATCAAGTGATTTAGGCTTTTCTGGAAAAGTGTTCGTATTTTAAAATTGGCTTGGTAAACTATAACAGTAATGTTCCCAATTGTTTATCTGAGCACTATTTTGGTTATGATGTTGTTTATTTTCATCTGTGAATCGATCGTGGTTATGATTTCTTTTCAGGAGTGATATCGGCTTTTTGCGGTATGTTTTGACCACAGAAATAGCAAAATCATTATTACATTGCTGTAGTAGGGTGATTATACTGGGATTCTCAAATCACGGCTGCCATAAAAGTGAGTATTGAAGTTTACTATTTAAATGTTTGATCATATATGTTAAATTATTTATTTCAAAAATACTACAAAGTATTTCTTTTAATTTGTTTCAAAAGAAAATGTCCCCCAAACCTACGAATCGTTATCGGACGAAATATTAGTGTTATATATATCAATCCTATCAGATATAGTTTTTATTCGATATCATTATATATCTATACTTATTTAATACGCAAGCAGGTTTTATGTGACAATTACTCCTCCGAAACTACTGAACCATTTGAAATATGTTTGGTGTCATTGGAAAGAGCGTAACGTGAAGTTGTTTTTGCAGGAAAATGTCTTTTTAGGGAAATGATTAGAGAGTGAGGCCCTGGGGCCCTTTAAAGTTTTGTATTTCTCCATAAGATTAACATGGTAATCAAAAATCTTTATGAAACTCCAGCTGTTGTCAGAAATAAAAAGTGAGAAGAAGTACAAATGTTAACTGTAAACAGTCATTAAATTTGCTAAATTTAACAGTTTACTACAAACAGTTACTGACTTGGTTGAAATGAAATATTTTCTATTTGAATTTGGGTTGGTGTAAATATTACAATGGAAAAAAGCGAGAGAGCCTGGATAAATTGATAAATAATTAACACTGTGCTGCATTTCTTAATAATCATTGAAAGACCCGATTTGCAAACTATGGAAATATAGGAAAGTCATAGAACACAACCAAGGAGAAGAAAACGAAATAATGTTTTTTTTAGAATTTATAATCGCTTCTAAAGTCATCAGAAATTATGACTGTTAGTCGTTTTAAAATACGCCTGTAATTCTTCGCAATTGCTCGAATTCGAGCAACAGGGACACTAGTTATATCTATAATACGTGAATCAGTTTTTTGTGAACACTACTCCTCTCTTATTTGTGGACCAATTTCAACGTATGAGGTGTTAAAAAATTCGTATGAATTTTGTAGTTTTGCAATAATATTTTACAATAAAAAATCTTACCCATAAGGGCACAAGGCACTCCCAAAAGGTAATTCTCCTCCTTTCGAATTACAGAGAAAAAAACGAAAAAAAACAACAACAGAAAACAGCTGTTAATAAAAAGAAGCTCAGCGCAGCTTTTTTAGGAATGAATATTGATGTTTGTAATAATCAGGAGGTTATAGGCCAATGTAAAGAGTTGATCAATTTTGTCCGAAGAACAGAAAGGAAGGCCCGAGTGCTGTTTGACTCCCCGGAATGGCCCAGTGCGTAATAGTGATTCAGGAGAGGGGTATTAGTGGAAGGGGTTGAATTTGGTAGGATGTAACGGAGACCGGGTACAGTTATTGCACTAATCGATTGAAAATATCGATTACATTAGTAAACCTTCATTCATCTTTTCATAATCAGTTTGGTTAGGTTAGGTTAGATTATAATAGTTTCATCTTATCCCTCAAACAAGTTTTGCTCATCCTACCCTGGTTGATCCTTCCACCCCCATACCCTCCTTACCTTAGACCCTTACCGTGGAACTGGTCACTAATACCTGGCTAATAATACTACTTGGAATACTAAGAAATCTGTTCTTATTTTTGAAATTTAATTTGTTTAGGTACGTTTATTCTGATCAACTATTCTTTTGAACAAATCATATTTGAAATTTCTTTGAGATATCATTTTAAAACCACAGTATATTTTAATCATATTTAATAATAGTTGCTGTACCCGTGCTCTGCAACGGAAAGAAAATATAGTTTAAAAGAAGGGCGTTCCCTTAATATAATAACATGTATTGATAGTTAAAACTATCTCTAGGTTGATACAGCAACGGTTGTTGAATATTTTTTGTTTTTTTTAGACTCTGCTGATAGTCAAATGAGCTGTGGCTATTTTATTTGAAAACTGGATGAAACTTATCTGGTCTTGAACAGATCTCTGAGTTTTCCGTTATAAATACTTTTTAAAACTTTTGAACAAAACAAAACAGATTTGAATAAATCCTAAGTGAAACTAATAAACCATTGGCCCAGTCAGTGGATGACTTTTGATTCCGGCCTCAAAGCCACCCGATATTATTAATCATCATATTTAAAAAAAAAAACAATCTACAAACTCCATTGATTAACAAGATAATGTACGTAGTGGCATGTTCGTAAACAATTTTCTATTTAGTATTTAGTCAGATGTAGGAACCATTACATTTATTATAAAGACCAAGACGTTGCAGACACGTTTCACAACAATCTGGAAACAACTGTTCCACCTTGAAGCGAACCTTCCTAGTTTGTACAAAAAGGTACTGAACGTGTTTTAAACTGACCTCCAGTAATCGCACTGTCCAGGAACAGAACACCTGCTATTATCCTCAATTAAGCAGTTTTTCATTCAAGAAAATGCCAAAGTGTCAGTAAAAAGCAAATCATTCTGTAAATGACAATTTCAGAAAAACCAAAACATAATGAGTAGCCTACTTTTATTCATTGTATTAGATGGACTGTTTACAATTGGTATTTTTTGAGGGTACTCATATTCGAACAATTATATTTAACGTATTATCTTTAATTAAACACGTATTTGTCGACATCGTTTTAAACTCAAGTAACGTTTAACATGCCCACCAAACCTTCTAACATTTTCTGCTTCCTCTTGGAAGGGCCAAAATGGACTCCGATGCCTTTTAGCGACCGAGGTTATTTTAAAACCAATTGAGGTTGTTTGAAATTATTCTGTAATATTTTACATAAGTGGTTTCATATTTTGACAAAATAACGAATCCCACTCGTCATTCATTTCACAAACAGTAATTTAGAGTGTCAAACAACGTGAACTGACAGAAACATAGACAAACACATTACATGCATTGATGGTGAAATGAAGTAGATAAACTACAAAACAATTACAGTAATACGAGGGACTAAACAGAATCAATTAGGCATTTAATTAATTAAGATCTCTTTCTAGTAAACACTTCCTTGTCTCGAATAGTAAATAGAAAATCTGTTTCTCATTGGCAGAACAACAAACCTATTAAGTTTATTTCCGAGGGATAGTGCTATCGCATTTCTAGCCTTAATGTTCTCTTTATAGCAAAATCATCCTTCTATCATCTTAATTCTTAGCCGAAAGACTGTGCGAATAAAGATACCAACATTTCGAAAAAAAGAAAGGGGTCTTCACTACGAGCAAATGCAATTAAAAGACTGAACCCATGCTAAGAATTTTCGACTGGGAAAATAAACGTATACTAACGTTTGACAATGACACATCTAAAGACACGTTATAAGCCTACAAGCAAATCAAACACTGCGGTTTTAAGGTTTAGAAGGAATTTCCTCGTCAATATTTTGATTATTACTCGCAGATGTTTCTGCTATAGTAATAATCACGAAACAGGATTAGTAAGATGTTAGTTTTGTGTGCTGGGTAAGACATCTTCTGAACTGGAATAAATTTAATTTGAACTAAACAATAAATGAAGAGGCTTTTATATTGCACATAAACCTATTATATTTTCTCCTTTATAAAAGGACCTGCACTTTATAGTTGGCCCAGAACCACTAACGGAATCAGCTAAAATACACAGGTGATTGGAAAGAATTGAACCCGAGGATTCAGGACGGAATTCCAGTGTCTCTAGACTAACCACGTCTCAAAGCACAATTAGTACAATTAGACCGCACCCTTTCTTCACCATTCGATACAAATCGCTTTATATCAATATCCCGTTATTGGGAGCTTTTAGTCGATAAAATGATGAATTCACAAAATGGGTTGATGTTACATAAATTCCGATTGGTTTACTAAAGAATTTTTAAATTTCCTGAATTTAAGAAAGTAATTAGATTTGATAGAATAAACTAACCACAAAAGATTCGGGGAAGATGGTAATTGTAAAATATTTCGATAGCATGTCAGTAATTGCCTTGTACCCTTTCTATTTGGTCTAAGTTGAACTAGTAATTCATTCAAATTGCACAGTATAACAGCTTATCTCACATGGGTAGCATTGTTTATTAGCTGGATGTTCCCATACAATAAGAAAGTAGTAAGTTTTCCCGCGAGTACAATATATTGATAACTGGTATAGCCCTGTAATTAGGAATACGTTGGGAATTCGATCAAATCCTCTAGTTGCAGGATGTATTTTCAGGTAAATGAGAGCATAGTGGATTAAACGCAAGACTTCCAAATAATCTATAAATATTCCCAAAGACATGATTTTACCTGCAATATTACCGTGACCAGTAGGTTTAAAGACCCTTAACAATAGTTCTACTTATATATAAAAAGATTTATAGGTCCATCAGTTTATGAGAATTATGAATTATGAGAATAATATGTCATAGATGAATCATGTAATGTCTGCATTGCAGAATTTCGTTTCCAAAAGATCATGACAAAAATTAAAACTTATGTATTCACACAGGCCTGCCCATCTATGACACGTCACAGCATAGGTCTCTGGTAAGGACAGTTTCTTAGTATTGGAGGATTGTCCCTTAAAAGCCATGCAATAAGTTGAAATCTTTCATCTTGGTTCAGTCTTTTAACTTATAAGTTTGTCTACTTATCCAGAGAACAATTGACGATATATCTTTACGATGAGAAGAGTTTCTTTGCATTGGATGTCTTCAAAACATCATACAATATTACAATTTAAATTATTGTTTGGTTATTAGTCTAATAACGAATCAAACTTTGAACAATGATTGCATAGAGTTGCTTTGATCAATTGCATTAAAAAAACTGCTCCTCTATCCTCACTCTCAATCTAAATCACTCTAGGAAAAAGTCAAGACTATCCAAATACAAGTACTTGCTACACATTGTATAAAGTGAACGACCTTTCTCTTTCAGCCGACCTTCTGGAGACCAGGAAGAAGCAGAATCAGTGTTGCCAACATTCGTGCGATCAGGTGGTGCCAACCCTTCGCATCCGCTTTCTCCGCCGTCTCACTCCGAGACATGACGCTGTTCGACAACCTCCTCAGGAGGATCACGGAGTTCCTGGTAGTTCTTCAGATGTTCTTGATGGCCTCGTGTTGGCCCACGCCATTGGACGAGTACGAGCACGACGAGTACGAAGAGGAAGTCGAGGAACCCCAAGTGCCAGACGTTAGGAGAAGGAACCAGCTGGGAACTGTGAATGGATAGGACAGAAGTTACCTGTGAGTAGTTCTAAAAAATATTACATGTATATATTTAAATTATAACGGTTATAGGTAGACATGACATACGAATCTTCCTGTGTAAATAAGAGAAGGCGAATGAACATAATGTTACAAAACCATAGGGTGTAAATTTAGCACAAATTCTAGTATTGAAAACTTTCTTATTTGTCTTCACCTGTGACATAAATTCCTTAACCAAATTCAACAGAACTGCGGTAAGTTCTAAATTACCTTACATTGTCAAACGGTCTGTTCTGTAGTAAATTAATATAGTTCCTGACACAATTGACTGAATATCTTAGACGCTATGTAGTAAGTTTAGCATTTAATCATTAGAACGTCAAGTTTTCTATACACAATGTGTTATATTACATAGAAATTAGATGGTTTCTTTAAAGCATTATTGAAAAAACCAATATCAAATCAAATATGCCCCTTGAAATCTGCTGTACATTGAATTCCAGCAAATATGGTCATGTTGTTTATAAACCAGCTTAACTCATATAGGCCAAGATCCAACAGCATAATTGGACCTTAAATGAATCAATATTGTTTAAAAAATATAAATTATAGTGCGGTACGGGCTTCCATAAAAAGCTGTAAGTGTTAAAAAATCTAATAATAGAATCCTAAAGGTCCATTGTACTAGTGTTAACTTAAGAGAAACTATCATTCACGTGTAAATAAATTTTATAAATATAATGTTGCACTACTGTTTGTCTCCCCAGCATAACAACCCTTGAGCTTAGTGAACAGGTTCTTATCGGTTTACTCGTTCAAAAACCGGCATGGTACCAGATTGGTAGTACTATTTTAGAAACTTTTGGTCGATGGACCAAACGTGATCCCTCAACTTTTCCTGGTTCCACATACATTTGCCTCTCATACACTATCTTGATTCAATTGTCGGCCATTGTCCATAAGCATATGCAAGGCACACGGTCGACGTCGGTTCAGACTGCATTGTATTCTAAGTGGTTGCATAATGACAGCATTGCTAATGACAGTCTAAATGAACGTGACCTTTACCTTGCAGAGTAGAACTATTGACACAAACTGATCTTCCAATCCCATAGTTACTGGTTTGTTTAGTAAACCATTTTTATAGTTTGTTTATGAATGCATTTAGGCTAGGATTATACTAGGACGCTGGCGTCCGGGATGCTGGCATCCGAGAGGCTAGCGTCCCACCTCGAGCCGAAAAATGACGTAATTTGTGTTGGGATGCTAGCCTCTCGGACTGCCATTTTATTTCAATGTTTAGTCACTTTTTGTAACATTAAATAACATTAGGTTTAACGAGTTCCAAGGTTTTATGCTTGAAGGGGCTAATAAAGTGTGTTTTTCAGTAAAATACTGTATTATTAGCTTAGTATAAAACAAATTGACCAAGTTTAATCGAAATATATCCATACACAAGCAAATTCCAACACTTAACAACATTTTCTATAAGAAAAACATGGCAATTTTTAATATACTCTTTTTTAATTTTTCCCATAACTAATAACAGTACAAAAACACTTAAATATATGTACTAAATTATTTGTTTTTAAGCTCATTAATAGACATATATATATATATATATATATATATATAATATTTAAATCTATACGAACGGATGGTGTTTTTGGCCTCTGGGGACATCAAAATGAAAAAGTAAATCGGTCCCGGGCCTAAATTTTACCATGCCCCCTACGGTAATAAATTCGAGCTTTCGGTGGCTTTTTTTAGCATCCGACGCTAGCATCCATAGTATAATCGCACCCATTTGATTAAATGCCCCGCTAGCGTCCCGGACGCTAGTATAACGCCAGCGCGTTAGCGTAGTAGGACGCCAGCGTCCTAGTATAATCCTAGCCTTAGAGATAATCAAGTTATTAACGATTCTTAAACTAAATCTTGGACCTTTGCATGTTTTTATATAAAGCAAAAACTAAATTTTGTCACAAATTAAAACGATTAAAGCTTTTCTTTTGTGTATAATGTTTGGAAATCAGTTGGTGGAGAGGTAAACATTATTATTAACCGGTAACATAAATGTGAATTTGTTTTAAGTCTGTGACATATTATTTGAAAATAATACATCTCCTATCTGGTGCATTAATTTGATTAAGCCAAGAAACAGCTGGTAGTGAATGTGTAAAGTAATTCCTCTATATACTATGCTCATTTTATATTTTCCGACAGGACAACATCATGGCAGGTACTCACATACTCATTCGATAGTTTTGGCACTTTCCTGCATATAAAAATTTGAAATGATACAGCTGGTTAAATTTAAAATAGTTAAAAGCATTGCACATTTATAGCTTGTTGTACTTTAATTTAAATAGCTACTTACAAAATAATTGAATTATGTTTAGGTATAATGTTTTGCCAGTTACCAAAAGAGTTCAATGCAGCAAGATAATAATCTAGCAAGTTTACAATAATCTATTGATGTTTATTAGTGTTGGTGCATTTTAATCCTCATTAATATCACAACGGAACGATGGATTAAACAAAAACTTTTCTATATTTATTATCCTTATTGAACAACAGAAAACAATGTTAAGAATGGTTTTCAGTTACATACAGGGTGCTCTTTTAACATTTTGTTTCTTGCTGTTTAACCCGCTTGATGATTGTTGTGAATTAATATGATTTTCTATTTGTAAGCCTGTGATCTAATATCCATAGAACAAATTAAAGATTAAGAAATAACCTCTAAAATATTTTAAAAAAACCGTTATTTAACAACAAAGCACTAAAATATAGTCAATGCACATAAATAAAAAAAAAAAATTGTGTATAGATTTACCTCTTAACCTGTAATTTGAAAAATTGTCATACATTAGGAAATTGATAAAAGCTTTCCAATGTGTTGGTGTTGAAAAAATCAAATATAGGAAAATATAATGAGCATAAAATCTGAAGGTCCAGCTTGTATCGTTAACAAATTTCGCAAATGGAAGCATAAACCCAAAAATATTATTTTTACTTATGATCCTATTGCTTTCAATAAATTATATCAGGCATAACGGCAGCATGACATCCAAATGTTAAGGTTACCATTAGAACCAAATATTCCACAATATACATTAGCATGCTTCACAAATTATAGCCAATAACATTTTGCAGAAAACTAGAATATTAACATACAAAATAATTTTTCTACTTATAATTATTAATCATGCAGATCACAAAATATTGGACTAAATATGTATTTATCAACTGTACGCATTTAAATATTAATTTACATTTCTTGTATAGAAAAATGCATTAATCCTTATTAGTTATGTAAATATTATAATTACAAATCAAAACATTAAAATAATGAATCACCAGATTTTAACATTACTACAATATTACGAGTCAAAAAACTATTTATCACTTAATTGGGATTTTTGAGGTTCTTCTTGCAAACTTCAGTATATTGAATGTTAAAAATCAAATTTAAATTAATTTAAATGACAATTTAACAAATATTACTTTAGTTTGCCATTCGGTCATGGATGTCTTTTTGTAACTGTCTAGTGCTAGGCCTTGTAACCGTGCGGTATATTATTCGTTACAGAATAATTTCCATTTCACATGACACACTCCATATACTACTACTTTTCATCTTCAAACCAAATTTACAACATATACGTAGCGCGACCGTGGGCGTAAGTAGCGTAATAACGTGCAATCTTCATTGTGGGTTTCCCTGTAAGGTAGGAAATCACGTTTCGTAACAACATAATGATCTAATCAGCTGAGATTCGCTCGTTTGATGTAGGGTTTCTTCAAGTCCAATATCTGCGAGAAGCCGTACAGATTGGCGCCAAGTAATAAAACCGCGCTCCAGATTGAATCCTCTCAGAGAAGTCACCAGAGAATCATATCGGGTCCCCTGACTGTCCTCCAACCTCTTCTCTAGAAAAGATCTCACTCGAACAAGTGTATTGGGTAAAATTATAAATACTAAATATATTTTATAATGTTGATCATTCCATACAAAATATATGTCCTTTTATCAGTGTTGCAATAAATGTTTAGAATCCCCAAAATATAACATCCGAAAGGTTGATAAATCAAATAATTTATATAATGTACATCTAAAAACTATAATTATAAAATAATATAGTAATGTAAATATATCGTAGTTATTTACCTATTTCAATTATTGTAATAATAATCCATAAATTAATAGACAAGCATGTTTCTTCAACACCTTTTTTCTCAGCTCGTGTGCATCGAAGGGAAAATTCACGCATACTGTTAGAAAGATATTTTACTGTAGATATGCAGAATCCCTTTATAAATTAAAATAGGCTAAAAAAGCACAACAAAATAATTTTAAAATAAAATAAAAAACATGGACCCTATTGGTTGCCATGCTGAACGAAAAAAAAACAAATGAAAGAAATTCCAATCACATGTTTTATTTACAGCGCGGAGTGAAAATAGAGTAGTCTGTACATTACACATCTTTGGTAGAGTTTTTTACCACTGGACGACCTCTATCTATTATTATTATTATTTGAGATGGGGACGCCACCTTTTACACACACCTTTCACAACTTATGGAGTATGTAAGCTATAATGAAGTGTGTTATCTATACAGCTATTTACGGAAGAATGAAAGTTCAGCGGCAGTTTTCTAATGAAGAAATCGTGGTTGATTCTAGGCTAAACCGTGCTCTGAGCTAAGTAACGTTTTACCGTAACAACCGTTACAAGTAATTCATCTTTATGCAGTCATGTTGTATTCTAGCATAGCCTACTCTATCCCTACTCTCTCTCCTGTGTATTAGAGGTAGTTATGATTCTATTAACCAACTATTTGTAATCATTCAGCTATTGTTACAACGATGCCGCCTTGGATTTTGTAACGTTACCGACATTTTGGAGTAACTACTATACACAGTATGGTTTAGCTTTGCCTAGCAAATATGAAACGTAGCTTAATTTTAAACTAGTATTTTCAAATAGTTGAATACTGTAAACATTTTTCCTTGATGCACGTATGTCGTATCGTGTATGAGAGACATTAAACTCTTATCCTAATTGCTCTTTTCTTTGCAGGACCAAGGGGATCCTGAATTAACTACATACTGACATCGGAACCTTTCCTTTATAATAAACTGCAGAACACTGACTATTGACTATTGGCAAGTACAGTCAAGTGTGAGGTTATAATACCTGGTAAGCGTTAAACACAGTTAAAGGTAACTCGAAAATGACGAATTTTGAATGAACTTGATCAAAACAGCTGTTTTATGAATTATAAAACATTGTTATTTCCTAAATATGAAAACGAGGTTGATAACATACTTTCCTTATTTGTTAAAATAGAAAATATTTTAGTTTTGTTTCTTTACCAACATAATAAGGAAAGTAGTGTAGTTTTACGTTTGATGTAATGTTGTTTTATTGTTGATATAAATATTTTATTGTTTATAAACATCTCCTTATTTACCTTAACGACGTGCACCATTGATGTAAATATTTTGTATAACGTAACGCACAAAAAAGTCTGGTCAATAAAAACAAAATGCGCTAAGGTATTTTTTAAACAGTCCTCTATACGCTCCTTGTAATAATGTAAGATACAAAATGTATTATAAAAAAGCTTACTAAAAATCAAAAAGAATAAATGAAAATATTGAAATATGTATGTGTGCTCCTTAATAGGTTACACGTTTTAAAAACCTTTTAGATGTACATTCAAATGACATCTACAAACTAGACAGTTCTTGATAACCTGCACACTTATAATTGCTTCCTGCTAGCTCATAAGAAAAGAAAACCAACTCATCTAGAAAAATATAAAATACAAATTTTTGTTCATGGATTTGATTTTTTCCGCTTAACAACATATGGCACTACTCCTTAACTCACTATTAAGTTCACATTGATTACATACATATATACCATTTTTAAAACCCATCATCATAGAAAAGAATATAACTTGATAACTACTTTATTGAAATTAAATCAAATTGGCACATTTTATTCGCGATTCATTTATTACTCGAACATAGTCTTCCTATCTTGTCTAGGTCACCGACTTATTAAGGATGAATAAATATACTAATCTAACTTAACCTAATCAATTTATTCTATAGTTTGATTGATACGTAAACATAAATAAGACAGAAAACACATTGAAATTGTTTATTTTAAAATAAGTGGGAATAGGAAGTACATGTATGTTCAATAAAACTAGAATAACAAAATGAAGTTCCTATGAAGGAAAGTAGAAGCGGACCAGAGTGTGCTCTACAATAGGCAGGCTATAGCAGGAACACGTGTTTGAGATGAACGCCCACATGTTCTTCAGGAAGGTAGGCAATCCTTCCACAACTGTAACCGTTAAGTAACAACTTTCACTAGTTGCGTGTTAGTGACTGTTAGGTCGTTCTCAACACAGGATCATGTCCACAGGCTGGCCTCCCAGGGTCAGGGTAGGTTTTCTAGGAGCTTTCACGTCCTCAATGCTTTCACTCTCAAACGCAGACGATCATGTAGAACAACTTAACGACAAGGTTTAAAATAATTTGCTGAGAAAATATATAGCTTAGTGGCTATTGATACAAGGTTGTACCTTTGAAAGTAAAATTTGTTTACTAATAAATTCAGTTTTTTTTTTTTTTTTTTGTAAGCGTATACTACAGTTGTGTACACATGTGAGTCTGTAAAGAATAAATAGTATTTGCATATAATAAAAGAGAGGGACTCTTTAGTTTCCATCATGAAGTAGTCACCCGTTCTACAAAAATGAAGAACAAATTTGACTCTACGTCATTTAGTTGCGGTTATGCTAGTAGGGCTAGGTGTAAGAAATAACACAACATGAAGTATTAATATTTGAACTATAATAGTATTGTTTGTACTAGTCCATCCTTCGGTTATTGGAAATACTTGTTTGTTGCCTAACTAGTTTGGTTTATAAAGCTGCAATCACTTACCAATGTTATTTCGTGTTAAGGTGCTCAAACAATTATGTATCATTTACGTTAGCTACCGCTTGACAAATATTGTACATTGCACAGAGAAAAGATAAAAATACTACATAATAAGGGACGCTAAATAAATAAGAGTAGAGTAATAAAAATAAAATGAAGACAACAATAAGAGAAAACAGAAATGATTGTTTCAGTACCATCGATAATGAACATGTAATGTTGATATAAAAAATAAATGCAACTGTGAGGAAGTGAGTAAAGAATTAGAGGTGTGAAAGTAAGACAAAAACATTGTTTGTTTGATAACAATGTGATCATCGTTAAGACAATTGGATACAAGAAATAACGTAACTCCGCAACAAGGGGTACAAAGTTGACAATGATTAAGGTGGCATTAGTCTTAATGTCAAATATTATTGATTTCAAAATTCTATGCGTTTTACTTGGGCTTACATACTAAATTATTGGTCCGTTTTACGCTTAAACAAGGTGGTAATGTTTAAAGGTGGATTAACAGTGCATTTCCCTGAGCTTGGAGTGAGATTGAATCTTAACAAAATTATCGTGATGAGCTCAAGACGGGGTTGTTCTAACAAACTCAATCACCCTTCGTTGAGTTTTCCACCATGTTACCCCCCCCCCTCCCTCGAAAAATCTTCTAAGGGATATCGGCATAACTTGTGACTAAATAATCGTAGATATAACGTGTCAGTGTTTAAATATTGCGTTGGATTTAACTTTAAATATAATTTTCCTTACAATTTGTAAAGAAATGTAAACCCTGAGAGATTTTTTATATCTTAATTAGTTCGAAATCTCCTTGTAAGTTTTGGCTTTTATTAAGGGGCCATATTGAAATATTCAATACAAACATGGAAATTAAATTTACATCTGTACAATACAACTGTACCCTTGTTTGTCAAACTTCTTACTAGGCACAATTTATATTTAAAATTAATTTTCGTTTTTAGTAGGTAAAAACAAATAAATCTTCATCTTGCTTCAAAATATATATGTATTTAAAATTAAAACCTCTTCAAAACAGTTTCAATTAAACTTCTCAAATTATCATCAATTTTTATTTTAAAATATGTGTTTTATTACTCATTATCCAAAAAACCCTGAAAATAATACAATCTTTTAGTTATTAGTCTACTGATAGATTTTATATAAACTTGATTTTAAATTGGAATTCAACAAAATTTATAATTTTAATATATGAATTTGCATAAGAGAAAGCAAGGCATTTATTTAATTTGGAAATTTCTACAAAACTAAACTAAATTTAGAAAAAAAGAAAAACTTACCCAAAATGGGGTTAAACACTGAATTTAAACAAGTTTACTTATGAACAACTGACTGTAAAAGAGACAGCAGCACGTGGCAGAGGGCCTTATATAACCTTGGTATAACAATTCTGTACAAGAAACTAACTAAACATCTGATTGGTTGTTGAGCCTTGCTTTGTCTTTTACATGAATGACTGAGCTAAACAGGAAAATTTTCACGTTATTGTACATATGGTACACAACAATAAAAATAAAACTATCAATCGGGAAAAATATACAATTGGATTTCAGTGGCAGGAGTATTACAACAGAGAGAAATTATACTTTCTTGCCAGACCATATTGATTTTATTTTGTAGATAGATATGTCTACAGCTTCGGGTGGTTTAGAATCACTACATCACGGAGTAACAACATAGCTAAAAGTCGTGGTTGTCGGAATTCGAACCCGGTCATTTCAGGTCGGAAGTCTGCGATATAGCTTGAAGACTTTTGACCAACCCCAGCCGTTTTCCAAGGTGATGATATAGAATATTAGCTGTTTACCCAATCACCCCCCATCAGCTATCAGCAGTCAGTTCTTCAGCAGTGGGCCCAGTCAGCTGTTAGATAATGGGGACCCTTGTTTGGGGTCAGATTTATCATGCTGAAGAATAAAGATGTTTGTAAAGTTTGCTTATTAAAAGAACCAAAAATCAAGTTAAAAATCGATAAAGATTTAGTACTGTGTTAGAAAAGTCCTATGATGAACGTTTATGATTTTTAATAAATCCATACTAAGACATAAATTCATGGAAAACAGAATAGCTGTAGCACGTCGACATAACACATGTTACACGCCTGTCAAAGATGTAAAGTGGAGTAAACAGCGTAGTAACAGGTGTTAATATATGTTACTAGATCGGGAACATTTTACGGTTGTCAGCGAGAGCAGACAAGAACGACAATGATTCCACAATAACGCAGCTGTTTACTCCTTATTCATTTGTAAAATTGGCAAGTAGTTATGGTTCCAGTTTGGGTTTTCTAACAGATAACTGGATTTACAGAAAAACGAAAAAGGCGAATTGAAAATTATAGAAATTTTCAAGTGTAAAAGAAAACATAGTCAATGGATCAAACACAACAACATTGGTTTATCAGACTCAGAGGGTTCATTATAATACGGTTTTAACGATGAAGGTGTTTAAAGGATTCCACCGATGAAAGCGTAAAAACAAACCTTGTAATCATCACGTTCTACCTGAATTACTACGTTGAATTTTATAGTGTTCAATTCTAGTATTTAAGCATTCTAATGTACTAGAAGTTTGAGGCCCGATTTTGGTTCGTGGGGCTGTTAATATCTCCAGATCTCGTAGTTGAAAAGTATGGTAGGTCCTACTTTGTTTTCAACATTTACAAAAAAATGAAACCCTTTAGTTTCCCTTAAGTAGTAGTCACCAACACTTCTTTCAATTGTTAAATAGTCATTTAAAAGTTAATGTATACGATACTTAAAATAAACAATCTCCATTAACGTATTGTATTTGCACGAAACCCCTTTTCAGTCAAATAAAATCATGAGTAACTATATAAACTAAACATTTTCTTAGAACTTGTTAAATTTATTACCACCCAATTCCTTTTTACACTAAAATTAATCCATACACTATCTTGAATGACTTGATTACATCAGTTTATTGGTGATTGATTTAATCATGATTGTAAAAAATACAAAATCAAAATTATTGCTTACATATTTTTAAATAAAAACTACAAAACATGCATAGTTCATTCCTACATCAAAATTTTCAAAATAATATAATTCACAGACCATATAATCGGGGAGAGAAAAGTAGATATTTAGAAAAGTTTGACAATGGAGGGCCTAAGGGGAGCCAATTAAGGGAGTTCGAAACGATGAATGAAACAAGTTTGCATGGACGGAAATCAACCCGTCTGTAAACTTTCTCTCCATTCCTCCAATAGCAGCTCTTCTCTTCTCATTGTTCTTTAAACATAGTGCGAAGTTTTATAGTAAACAAGAAGTTAAAGCACAAATATAAAGCACAATACTTTAGAATGATTGTATGCACAGCAAAAAATATAAATTACCACTACCAATTTGAAATGGAAAAGTCAAAAGTAGTCAAATTCAAATAAATGCTTGTAAATATTTAAATAAGTAAATACTAGCTACAAGAAAATACGGTCCGCTATTTATTCCCGTATATCGCAACGGAAATATAACACGGGATAGATTAATGCTGTTATTTAGATCTGCGTTATAAAATAGTTACTTATTATTCATTCTAGAGTAAAA